TGGCTATTGCTCCTCCCTCTTATAGGTTCTTCCCACAGGCCCTGCTGGTTCTGGTTGACTTGGCCACACAACCCCTGCAGTGGTCGCCTGCCCCAGGGTCTGTCACAATAAAACAAATGTTTCTTTAGTTCATTTTTCAAAGGACATAAATGCAGACTTGAACATCTCATCTTTTAGTACATGCTGGTACAAAATCCCAAAATGCTTAGACAAAGGATGAATGGTCAAAATTTTACTTCAAATGTGGCTTTACAAGGAATGATGTAATGTGAATTAATTCTCTGTGCTAGAGCAAGGGTGAGCATCATACAGCTTATGGGGCACATGTGGCCTGCTGATGTATAAGGTACAGCCTGCAAAGGGGGGGGGGCACATTTGTTGGCTCAGGGACGCAACATCCCCAGTTGGCTACAGCTCTGAACAAAGGCCAGCTCAGCAGTGTTAGGGCAGCTGGGAGCTAGTGAAGCAGAGCCAGAAGAGTGTGGTAGCAGCTCACAGGCAAGCCGCTGAGAAGCACAGGTTCCTGGAATGGTTCTTGGGGTGAGAGCTGAGATTCTCATGGGAACCCATGAACTCCACTGGAGAATGTGCATCTTCCTGCCATGCTTCATTTGCAGAGGGGCTGAGAGGCAGCTGACAAGGACATGCTCTGCCTCCTGCAATGAGGAATGGTGGGTGGTAACAGAGAGGGAGGAGTGCAGCAGTGGCAGTGCAGAATGAATAGAAAGGAGGATGGATGGAGAGTTTCCCTCCCCCACGGGAAAGAGCTCCCAATGAAGTTGCATTGTGGGAAATGGCCAGCCGTCCTTCCCCAGCTCCCAGTTCATCCACCCCTCTCTCTGTTTCCCAAACTTGCATCTGGCATCTGCTCCACTCTCCCATTCCAGACTTGTATTTGGCAGCCCCTTGTTCTCTTTGCTTCCATAAGAAAGGAGAGGAAGGGAGACACAGCATAGGCAATAAGTATAAGCATGGCTGAAACGACTTCAAGCAAGAAGGTATGATCGTGACAAAGAGCGTCCCGCAGTCGAGGATGTTTGGGTTCTTCGGGGGCTCAGATAGAACAGATAGTCTTCATGACAGGGGAAGGAGCTTTGCAAGAACTCCAGACATGACTGTTCTGTTCTTCTCACGTGTGTTGGGGGAATGAAGCTACAGTTCTGGATGCTTATTGTGCTCCAGTTCCCCTTGTGTTGAGAGCACAGTTACCTGGCTGGTGGGTACGACTGCTGATTTTCCACAGGAGGCTTTGGGAGTCCTTAGTTTCTTCCTCTTTCTAGCTCTGCTTCTGACTGTGTATTCAGTTACGGAACTTCAGTTACCAATCGGTTGTCTAAAGAGTTCCCGTTCCTTTTAGCTGTGTGTTTGCTCTGTTTGGAAAGATGGGTGGAGTCATGATGCTGATGGTATGGCATAAACTCCTATTTGACCTTGCCAGGTACAGGGTGACGCCCACTTGCCCATCTTTGACAGATCCCTTTGGAGTGCCTCACAATCCTCACTGGTTTTCACCACCCTGAACAACTTTGTATCATCCGCAAATTTAGCCACTTCACTGCTTACTCCCAACTCCAAATCATTAATGAACAAGTTAAAAAGCAGTGGACCAAGTACTGATCCCTGTGGTACCCCACTGCTTACACCCCTCCACTGGGAGAACTGCCCATTTATACTCACTCTCTGTTTTCTATTAATTAGCCAGTTTTTGATCCATAAAAGGACTTGTCCTTTTATCCCATGATTTTTGAGCTTACTTATGAGCCTTTGATGAGGAACTTTATCAAAAGCTTTCTGGAAGTCAAGGTAAATAATATCTATTGGATCCCCCTTGTCCACATGTTTGTTCACCCCCTCAAAGAACACTAATAGGTTAGTGAGACAAGATCTTCCCTTACAGAACCCATGTTGAGTCTGCCTCAATAGGTTTTGTTCATCTATGTGCCTACTAATTCTTTCCTTAATAATGGTTTCCACCAATTTACCCGGTATCGACGTCAGACTGACTGGCCTGTAATTTCCCAGATCTCTTCTGGAACCCTTTTTAAAGATGGGAGTGACATTAGCTATCTTCCAGTCCTCAGGAATGGAGGCAGATTTTAAGGAAAGATTACATATTTTTGTCAGGAGATCCACAAGTTCACATTTGAGTTCTTTCAGAACTCTCGGATGTATGCCATCCAGGCCTGGTGATTTATCAGTTTTTAAGTTGTCTATCAGTAGTAGGACCTCAATTGTCACCTCAATTTGACTCAGGTCTTTCAACACCCCTCCTTAAATCAGCGGTTCTGGAGTGGGCAAGCACTTCTCATCTTCCACAGTGAAGACAGAGGCAAAAAATGCATTCAGCTTCTCAGCCATTTCCCTATCATCCTTCACTACTCCTTTTACCCCTTGATCATCCAAGGGCCCCACTGCCTCCCTGGCTGGTTTCCTACTTCTAATGTATTTGAAGAAAGTTTCATTGTTGGTCTTAATGTTTTTTGCTATATGTGCCTCATATTCCCTTTTTGCCTGCCTGATCACAGACTTGCGTTTTATTTGCTTCTCTTTTATCAGTCTCATTGAAACTAGCTTTCCACCACTTAAAGGAATCCTTCTTACTATTTACAGTTTTTATTACTTTGTTTGTTAACCATGCAGGCTTTTTTTCTATACCTTTCCTAACCTGCGGTATATATTCTTTATGAGCTTCTGGGGTTGTAGTTTTAAATAGTCTCCAAGCTTCCCCAATGGTTTTGACCCTTTCTACTTTTCCTTTCAGTTTCCTCCTCACATGTCCCCTCATATCACAGAAGTTACCCCTTTTTAAGTTAAAAGTGGTTGTGTCAGTCTTTTTGGGCAACTCCCTATTCATTCAAACGTTGAACAATAACATTATGATCACTGTTCCTAAGTGGTGCAGTCACTTTTACATCTCTCACCAGGTCTTGAGCGTTATTTAGGATTAAATCCAGGATCACCTCTCCCCTGGTAGGTTCCGTGACCATCTGCTCCATAGCACAGTCATTGAGAGTGTCTAGAAACTCAATCTCTTTTTCCTGACTTGAACACATATTGACCCAATCAATGTATGGGTAGTTAAAATCACCTATTACGACACACTTTTTCGTCTAGCCGCTATCTTTCATTCATTCATCATTTTATAATCCTTCTCTGTCTTTTGATCTGGTGGGCGATAACAAACTCCCAGTGTTAAGCTTCGTTTTGGGCGCACTATTTCAACTCATAGCATTTCCAGAAGTGAATCCAATTCTCTTACTCTCTCAGTCTTACTGGACTGTATACTCTCTCTGACATATAGAGCCACCCCACTTCTAACCCTCCCCCCCCCATCCTTCCGATATAATTTATAACCAGGAATCACCGTATCCCACTGATTTTCTTCATCCCACCAAGTTTCTGAAATACCCACAATGTCTATTTTCCCCTCCAACACCAAACATTCCAACTCCCTGATTTTACCTCAGACACTTCTAGCAATTGTATATAAGCACCTATAATTTCCCATACATGTTAAGCCCACAACCTTCCTCTTGCTGCCTCGAGACCTTGCCAGGCAGTCCATATTCCTTGCTAACGTTATGTAAGACCAACAAAGTTTAATTCTGGGTATAAATTTTTGTGTGCATGCACAGTTCATCAGATACATTGAAACATTTTTCCTCAAGCCTTACATATAAGTAGAGAGAGGGTGTGTGGGGGGGTTAGTTGCCAGGAAGGACTAGTTAGAGTTAAAATGCTTAAATAACTGGGTGGTAAGTATTGCTGAGATTGGATTACAGCAGTTGTTAAGACCTGTGAGTGGCAGCAAGTTTGCATAGAAACACAAGAGTTAACAAACAGATGTGAGAACTAAGTTTGGGTGCAGTCGCATCTCCAGGACTAACAAAGTTCAATTCTGGGTATAAGTGAGAACTGTGAGACTGAGCATGTGTAGATGTACATTTCCTCAGAAACACTGAAACAAATTTCCTCAAGTGTTACATACAGTTGGGGGAGTTAGTTGCCAAAAAGGGCTAATTAGAGTCAAGAGGCATAAGTACAGCTAAGAGTGGGATAATGCAGTTGGTAAGGTCTTTGAATAGCAACAAATAGCATACAAGTTAACAGCTGTGAGAACTAAGTTGGAGTCCAGTGGCACCTTTATCCTTGTGCTCCAGTTCCCCTTGTGTTGAGAGCACAAGTATCGTTTGGCATAGGGTTTGCCCTGTTTGTCCTATGTAGAGAACTGAAGGGCATCGTTGGCATTTAATGGCATATACAGTGTTAGAAGATGAACAAGTGAATAAGCCTGAGATGGTGTAGTTGATGTTACGTCCAGTGATTGTGTTGCCTGGATGCATGTGGCAGTAAAGTTGGCATCTGTGTGCTTGCAATAAACACATGCTAAGTCAGTTATTGCTGAAGAAAACCGTTTCAATGTATCTGATGAAGTGTGCTTGCAAATAAAAGCTTATACCTTGAATAAAACTTTGTTGGTCTTAAAGGTGCACTGGGCTCAAACTTTGTTCTGTTGCTTCAGACAAACACGGCTACCTACCAGTGTTCCCTCTAAGCTGAGTTAGTGTGAGCTAGCTCACAGTTTTTTAGCCTCCAACTAGGGCTTCCAAGTCTCGTTGAATCGCGGCGGGGGATCATCATTCTTTACAGGAGCTCTGCCGCGGGGGACGGCAACAGGCATTGCACTGCCGTCGCCAGGATGTGACGCTACACATCGCTCGAGCAACGGGGCTATTTGGAGTCCCGTTGCCAGAGCGACGCGTAACGTCACATCCTGGTGACGGCAGTGCAATGCCTGTTGCCATCCCCCGCGGCAGAGCTCCTGTAAAGAATGACGATCCCCCGCCGCGATTCAATGAGACTTGGCAGCCCTACCTCCAACTCACAGATTTTTGTCTTAGCTCAGGAAGGATGGCTCCAGACCAAACCGATTTATGCAGTAGCCAAATTGCTCGCTCACAACTTTAATCCCGGTAGCTCAGAAAGTAGAATTTTTGCTTCCAAGACTCCACAGCTTAGAGGGGACATTGCAGTACCTACCTGAATCTGATGCTGTGTAAGTATTCCAGTTACATGTAATTTCATCAGCTATGTGTTGTGTATCTTATATTCACAGAGGAAGCTGGAGGTGGTTCCTGTGTTCTGCTGATCTTGTTGTGCATAGCAACTGTATTTCTTAGCGTTGGAGGAACTGCCCTGTACTGCACATTTGGCGATACTGAATCTCCAGTATGTACTGATTTTGCAGCCAACGTGGACTTTTACTGTACCCAGATATTACAGGGTATGGAAGAGCTTAAGCACTGGATATCTTTCTCATAATACAAATAAACACAAACACCTTGCTGACTGCTAACTGACAATTGCTGAAGAGGGGAGAAAAATACCTTCAAGCTTCTTATAACATGGCACCTTCAGAAGTAGCACAGCTAACAACACAGAAAGCACCTATGTTGTAAGTAGGAGCTACCTTCTGGTAATCGGGAGCGTATAAGTGGAGTTCACATGAAAGCACGGAGTGGCATAAAGACTGATAGAATGCTCTAACGTTCATCTTTAGAGACGTTTTAAACAGCCATCCGTCCCACAGTCTTGGGAAATGAAGAAAGAAAAATAGGTAATTACTTACCATACAGTTTCAAATGCCCACAGGATCATATGCAATATAAGCTTAGTATAAGGTTGTTGGGGGTTCTTTTTAGCTCTTTGTGAAAAGATTTTGTCTCCAACTCTCTCATGCAATAAGGCAGTGCTGTATGGATATGTACCTTATTTTTTGTTAAAATCTTCATGTCTGTCTTGATTTTTAATTGTCCCAGTTCGTTTTGTAACTTGATTGAAGTAGTCCCGTGGGAATCGGAGCCCTCAATCTAAGTGTTACATTTGCCTTGCATTTCATTATGTAGCAGCTGTAATGAGTGATACATCTATCACTTTATACAGTCTTGACAAATTATGTGGTCTTTTAATTTGTAGACTCCTCAAAATGTTTTGCAAACTAGGCGTCCTACAATGACAACTGAGGAGCCATGATTGGCTGCAGCTCCCAGTTGGCAAACCTGGTTTTCCTCAGTGTAACGAGAGAAATGATCCTGGCTCAATACCAGAGCTCTCACTAGTTTTAACACAGCTGGATTGTCTCAAAATGTTTGGGTCACCAGAAGCAAAGAGGAGTAGGACCTGGGATACATGACTACAGAATAGATTTCTACTTGTCCAAATTATGATGAGAAAGCTGGACTGAAAAATCAAACATTTGATTAAAGACATAAACTAGTCAGTTGAAAACCTGAGATACATGGCCCCACGTTATTAAGTGAAGACAAATGACCTCTGATTGTCGCTGCTCTCTAAACCAATTTGCAACTGAAACTATCCTAATTATGCAGTTGCTCCAGTCATGGTTCTTAAACCTTAAAAGCAGGAATAATAATGAAAGGACTAAGCAAAGGCACTGTACAGATTCAAGGACAGATAGCTGCTGAAAATGACAAATTGATCCTCTATTTCCTTGTACTTCTGCAACCACTGGAGAAGCATTTGTAGAATTCCTTTTGTCTAAACTATTCCTGAAAGTTGCCTTTATGATCTTTGCTTAGGTTCAAAAGTGTTCTTTGAGAAACAGAAGCCCAATGACCTGCTATACACAAACAAGTAATGACACATTTGTTTAAATGCTGGCCAGTATATTTAAGTTACATGAGGGGAGAGTTAGGTTAAATATTAGGAAACTTTTAAGATCACTTAGTTCAGGAGGGAAACAATTTTTTTCTGAGATTTAAAAAGAAATGTTTCAAAGCAATTTATTATCTTCACCCTTTTAAAGAGAGCGTTAAAAAAACCCACTGGGTATATGCGAGAATTCAGATATGTAGGCAAGTATTGTCAAGTTGTAACCAATTTATGGTGAGCTTTGAAGGCAAAGAGCTTTGAAGGCAAGTGAGAAGCAGAGGTGGCTTGCCATTGCCTTCCTCTGCAGTGTTCCTTGGTGATTTCCCATTCAAATACTGACCCAGCTTAATTTCCAAGATCTGACAGGATCAGGCTATACCATGGTGACTTCCCTCCTGTGCAAGGATTTGAGTGCATCTAAAATAGATTTTTTTGGCTTTAGCCACTAAATTTATGCTATCCTTTCTGAATATTAGTCTTCTGAATCTTTCTGGCATCCTTTCAAATGGCTGAAAATAGTTATCGCATCTCAAATCCCCCCCCCGAAGCAATATTAAATACCCTCAATTTCCCAAGTCTGGCCTCATTACTTTTGCTTCAAGATCACCTATCTTGGTAATGCATCTCTTGAAATCTCAGTAAGTACCCTTCTGAAAAAAGAACATCCAAAGCATAATGAAATACACCAAATATGGCATCTGCAACTAGTTGTGCCGAAGCCCTGGGATGAAAAGCTACTCTGGATGCCACTTAAACCTCCTTTGAGCCACTGCACTGCCTTCATCCTATCTTTGAAATCCGTTCCAATAATGCAACTGTCTACCAGATTGTCCTGTTTTCTTTATGTTTCATATTAGCAGGGCTCTAGTCAGGGGGGAGCTCTCAGGTACGGAGCTCCGGAAGAGAACCTCTAGGGGGCGGGGCGGTCACGTGGTGAAGCCCCGCCCCCTTCTTTACCCCGCCCTCTGCTTCGATCCTCATTCCGTTTGGGAATGAGGATGAAGCAGGAGGGTAAGTAGCCGGGCCTTCTGACACACTTCCGGTGATGTCAGGGGGTGTGGCCTTCTGTCACTTCCAGTGATGTCAGGGGGCGTGGCATATGCAAATAAGTTATGCTAATGAGCTCCGGCAGCTCTTTTTCTACAACAAGACCCCTGCATATTAGTTTGTGCTGAATTTTATTTTAGTATCAGACCAGCTCTTTTTCATATTAAAACATAAGTTTTAGTATGTCTAGCAGTGGCTATCCCTTCCTAGTTTCTCCGTTAAGCACAGTATTTGGTAACCAAAATTATGACAGAAATCCTTTTTTAAACAACACTAGATCCCTGGATAATCCTGCTTGAAAACTTCTTTCCTATTTCATATTGTTCATTAACTATATTTTAAATAAATGTTTGTTCCGGTTCCTTCTGATCGGCACCTCAGGCTTTCCAAAGGGAGTGGTATCTCGGCCTAGTGGAGAGCTTAATAAAACAGGTGTTGTACCCATTTCATGCACTTTCTCTGCCATACTTTATTAGTGCAATATGCTCACTATGCAATATGCAGACATCAGTTTTAAAATCTAAATAGTGAAGTTGGCATTCTGAATTTGAACATAACGGCACATTTCTGGCATTTGCAAGAATAATATTAGTTGATTTTGTGCAAAAATAGATTCATTTTTATTTAGTGCTTGCAAGTAATTCCACCAATACCCCCTTCTTCTTAAGATCTATTTAAGAAGTAAATATCCAGCACTGACCAGGAAACATTTTTCTCTTTCTGTGTGATGTGACAAAGAGAATAGACAACATGTAGCATAACCAGGCCCCCCTTGTTTGATTTCTCCTTAATATACTTGATGTGTCTTATTGATTGCATTGCATCATTGTTTCTGTCTCTAGCCCCACTTCTCCCAATCAAAGCTGAGGCTTGAAAAAATCTAATTTACATTTTGACTTCTGGAACACAGCCTCATATACCTGTGTTGACCTATGTGCCCACGATGTTGGCATAGTATGTTTTTGTAGTGTTTTGTTGACAACTTTAAGCCTGAGGCCAGACAGAATCCAAAAGTCATACATCCTAAACTGATCTCCCCCACCATTTCTGGCCTCACAGTCTTATACTGTTTAAAGTTCCCCAGGACTTCAAAAGTAGTTTTGAATACAGTAGGTCAGCTTTTGAGGTGAAGGACTTAAAAGTTAGTCTATACTGAAGCTTTCCACATACAGTTTTTAGTTTACAGCCAAAGGATTTATGTGCTAATAGAGTAATACTGTGGGGTAGTTAATTGGCATTTTTTTCCTCATGTTTCACCTATCCTACATCTAAACACAGTTTTCCATGTGCACTCCAAAGGCTTTTGTGTTGTACTAAAGCAATGCCTGAACTTTCCGAGGGGGTGGCACAAATGTTGAAATGTAACTGGCTGGTTCAGTATGTCACTTCTGTATGCCTTTATTTAATTCATTTAATTTGTAAATCAAGGGTATCTTCTTGTTCTTTTGTTTTGTAATTTTATGGAGTGTTGATGATGAGCATGAATTCTGTTGCTATAATGTATTTATCTCTTTAGATAGTCGCTATTGGGGGGATTTTGTAATTTTCAGTTTGGTGTTCTATTGAATATTAATGTTTAAAGAAACAGTGGATTTCACCTGTGTTTTAAAAGTTTGTGCACCTAATCACCAAAAAATATTGAGAGTTATGACTTGAAAACGCTTATTTTAAAAGTATGCTGTATACAAAGATCAAGAATCCTTATACTTAGTTTCATTTTAACAAAAGTGATTTTAAAGAGGCTTTTATTGCACATTTAAAGAAACACAACACACTTTTTAAAATTTCATGTTGCACTAGGGTTGCCAGACACCCCTTTTCTTGAGAGAACATTTTTATTCCTACTCATGCTAATTCCATACAGCATAATGGATCTCCCTAACTTCAAAACATCTCTGCTCCATCATACTCCAAACAGGCACCATGACAATGTGCTCCTTTATTTTTTAACTTTTGACATGGCAATCTTAACCCAAAATCACCTTAAATTAAGGATATCCTTGCTGTAACAGAATCTGTACAACAGCTCCCATATTGCTAGGGTTGCCAATGTCCAGGTGCAGCTTGAAGAGCTCCTGGTGTTATGACTGATCTCCAGATGACAGAGATCTCTTCCCTTGCATAAAATGACTGCTTTGGAGGGTTGATTCTATGGCATTATACCCCACTGAGGTCCCTCCCCTCCCCAGAGTCAACTCCCTAAATCTCCAGGTATTTCCCAACCCAGAGCTGGCAACCATACATATTGCCCATGGCTGGGGCACAGGGCAAACATAAGGAGACATGTTCAGAGCTGGTGTAATTCCAGAGCAGTCTTAAGGTTGATCTCATGTATTAATCATGATACAGAAGCAGTCTAGAATTTTTGGCTATGTTTGCATGTACTGCTTCATCTCTTTGCTGATCGTGTGATCTTAAGGTGTAGCTAGATCGCCTAGTCATTCCAGTATAACAAATTAAAACGTTGATACTAATTCTTGTTTGATGTGATAGGTCACATGCTTTATGGTAGCTTTTCAAATGGTTGGCTCTATAACAACGTTTGTTCCCACCTGACCTTTAAAATGATGTCTATCTATTCATGGGCCCTAATTCTGTAAACCCTTTTTATGCAAGTTCATCTGACATGTGCATGTGTAAACTTCTGTAGGGTCCAGACCGGAAAGCTGAAACCAAGCTAACTGAAGAGTAAATTCTGTATTATTTTTCTATTTGAAAATGCTGTATACGTTATCATTAGAAGCAAATTACTGTAAAACTGAGAGAAACTAGGAGGAAACATGTTTATTTTCTCTCAGTATTAATGTGTGCAAAATTGCTATGGCTCTAATAACCCATTTCACATAGCTGTTTCCTCCTGGTTATGTGTGACTGTGTGTTGTGTAAAAAGTACACGGGGGGAAGAAGAAAATACTAGGACAATACACTACATTGGCCCAAATTATACTATTGTCATGTGGTGTATTAAAACTCCTTTATAAATAATTGGCTTGATATTAAGTCAAATGTATTTAAAAGAGAAACTAAACATGTAGATTTACCTTTACAAGGCACATATTCCTCCATTCACTGCCTCCCAGCTGACTGATGTTTCAAAATACATAGATGTGTATGTATTTGTGCCTAGGCTGATGTGCAATCAATTACTGCCAATAGGAGAAAATGGCTTGTTGGTTAAGCTTCTTGAGAGAGGAGAATCTTAAAGCCAAATTAGGTACAAAGATGGATTTTGTGAGTGAAACTAGCTCACATTCTTGTTAAACTTCTAATAAAAGGGCTGTTACACTCATCATTGTAATTTAGTTCTATTATAACTTAAGAGCAAGACAATTCAGTGTAATCAATATTTGTGATCAATCTTGCCCTTTGTCAACAAGAGGAGAAAACTACTATTTGAAACCATCAAACCAGGCTTGTGATTTCTAACCATAACAGACAAAAATAAAGTATCCCTGAGAAAATGCATGAAGTCATGTACTTATTTACTGTATGTAGTCCACCTTTCTCGCTGAGACACAAGGCCAATTACAAAGTGTAAAGCAATGTAATCAAATAGCATGAGTCATCTAATAATCATTGCAATAGAGCTAGGATTGAGACACAATACAAAAAAAAAAAGACAGGACATGATGTATCATAAGCAATGCAGAAAATGAAATCCATATGTAGAAGACAATGCATTATAGTCCAGCACTACACCCCCTATAAAAAGGACATCCTGAACATTTTTGTTATGCACTTTCTGCAGAAGGATAGTATTGTGGGAGCATACTTGACCTCCTCACGCTGGTCATTCCACAAGATATGAGCCACAACAGGTAGCCATTATTCTTACCCATTTGCAGGGTGTCATCTGAGCAAAGCTGTCATAGCAGACCACAGCAGGAGAGGTGGTCCTGCAGATATGTGAGCCATGAAGGACTTTGTGTGTAACAATCAGTACCTTGACATGAACCCAGTAACTGATAGGTTATCAGTGGAATGACTGCAGGATGGTGTAACAAATGGGACACACAAGAACATGTGTGTGGGGGTCTCGTTTTACCCTCTCCCACTATTTCCTCTTTCCTTTTCCTGCCTTCTTCGCTCCTTGCCCACCCACCAGACAAGCTACCTTTATCTTACCACATCTTCAGTTTTCCTCCTACCCTCCCCCGGCAGCCTCTCCCTGGGGAAAAGTCTACCTTTTCACAGTGCCAGCTGCCAGGCAGGGCCCAGTTACATGGTGTGAAACCCACAAGAACCTAAGGGGGCACCTCATTTTCCCCTTTATCCCCTTCCCAAA